CCAAAGCCAAAATTAGATACTCAGAAATGTTTTGATAATAAATAGTGCTTTGCAAGGTTCATTTTGGTGTTCTAGAAAATAAGTGTTGTGGTATTTGCAGGGCTGTGGCTGGATTATATCAGGGAGGAACTGAGCCCCCAGGGCAACCCAGAGAACTGTGGGAAGATTCACTGGCGAGCCATGAGGAACCTGGAGGGCCAGGCTGTGGAGCGCTTTGTGGCTCAGTACACTCTGCTCCAGACAGGCCACATCTAGAGAACTGGCATGCTTGACCAAGCCAGGGGACCACATTCACTATATCCCTGTCTCTTCACTTGTCGTTCAAGAAGACGACTTCAAATTGTTGTCATTATGAAGGTCAGCATAGGACACTTTGCTGGAGAGATACCACATTTGACTGAGATCCAATTGTAATTTGTAATGATCAGGAATTTGACTTTATTTGGCCCACAGTTTAGTTTACTGGGTGACTGTACTGACTAATGTGTTTCATGCCTAAAAATACACACTTCTGTCTGAGTGTGTATAAAAATAAAAGTACATTTTGGGAACATCTCTTAAAAATTACTTCTCACACAACAGGATTCTTAGAATGAAACATTTATTAGGAATTTTATAGCATTGTTTCAATATTTAACATCAAATAAATTACTCCCTACAAAATAGTCTTGGTTTGTTGGGGTGTTTCAATGCTAGTCCCTCTTGCTGTAAATTAAATACACAAGTGTCACTTTGAAACAGAAAAGCATGGCTGCTTTTTCAATTTGGCTACATGTGCAATAACACCATTACCCTTGGTTTGACACTTGACCTCCAGAGTCACCCACAGGTCCTGGCACAAACATTTCAAACAAACATAAGAACTGGACATGATGCTAGAGAACCACTGAATGACTGGATTCAGCTTCTGTATTGTGCTCTAACGTGTGCAGTAAAACCTAAAAGGTAGTGTAAAAGAAATATTTTTCAGTGTAAACCTGAATGCCACAATTTAAACTACAACTAGCATGAGAAGTTGTTTGGTAACACTACCGACAGTCAATTAAAAAAGCTGTGATATTACATTCTGTTTGTTCTGAGGCATCAGTCAGGGCCACATAATTCAAAGACAAACAGATCTATAAAGTACCTGCTCTCTCTTGTTTATGAAGAATTGGACCCACTCTGGAGATGCAGTTTCACTTCGTCTTATTTCTGGTCAAGTTAAGCCCCTCTGCAGACACCTCTGTGTATTTGTCAATCACAAGTAAATGCTAGAAGTAAAAACAAAAACCAGCTTACCAGGACCAGGAATAATAGCCCCTGTTTACATTCCTAATGTATTTATGCTGGCTACTTGGATCCAGAAATGTTTCAACAGACATAAAACAAATGAGGACAGATATGCTCTCTGAAGCAGGACTGAATTTATAGTGACTACTTACTTTGCTCAAAATTAGCCTTTCTACATTTAAAGCCCTTCTCAACACCCCGAACTTAACAAAAGACAATGATATTAACCTTTAGGAATATTACAAAATCTTTCATCGCAGAGTAGAAAAAATGTTATGACATGTAAATTATTACAGTTTAATATGTTTTTGAGGTATCAAATGCCCCATCATTACAGATCTACAAATGAGAAAAGCAGCATAATGTAGAACGTACAAAATGACCCTTGTATGTGGATGAAAATGACACAGCATCCAGATACTTTTACTGTTACCTTAAATATATTATGTGCCAAATATTTACAGAGTTTAAGGTCACTTTAAATACTTTCCAGTTAAACCCTTTGTTATCAGTAAAGTACAGTGGTCACAAAGAACTCTCATACAGTCAGACCTATGCTCTTCTGGAGCACTGCTGAACAGCTTTCACTAAAACAATATTTGACATAATACCATAATACAGTTAGTACCTAAACACATTCTTAATAAATCACATAATGGTATGTTAACCAATCACACATTGCACATTTAGGAACAGCAAGACTGCAGGTTCTTTGGACAGTATGCTGATTTCCCTGGGAAAGAAACTGAATGTTTAAAAAATAGAAATTCCTTGTGCTGGCCCTATGTTTCATGAGTAGTATGAGTTAGATCCTACCTCCCCTCATAAGGAAAACCCAGTGAATCAATGAGCTGCAAGCTTACTTTGAAAATGATGGAATACAAATTGATTTAACAAGTGCATCAGATTCTAACAGGCCCAGGTGTTATATTTACCCAGAGTTATTATACTTAGATCACGTTGCTGGCTTGCTCTCCTGTGACTGAGACTGATTCCTGTTTCCACAGTCTGTGGCCTTCACTGTGGGCTGCCGCTGGGATTGGCTAGCACCATTCCCTCTTTATCAGCTAAGGATTTCCAAAGGACTGATTAAAACACACTTGTTTTCTCTTCATCTTCTTACAAAGATATAAGAACGCACTATACAGAAAGCAGCCTCTCAAGTATCGCCTTCGCCACCACTGATGGGCAATTAGTATAAAGTGCAAACACTTAAAAAAAAGTCTGACTACTCTGACTAAATAGCCGTTTAATGCTAAGTTATGTGGAATTACGCTGACCTATCTCTGAAATGTCTGTCAGCATTAAGCATTAAGGCAGCAACTGAGTTATGAACGGAGAGGCCGTTAGTAGTATATATCCCTTTTGTGAAGATGGACTCCTGGCGGGCGGCGCACCAGGGTGCCGGAACACTGACATCGTCAATTGCCTCAGTGCTTCCTAAGCAGAATGTAGGTGATTAGCACGACCAGACCCGCGGAGAGCGCTCCGATGACACACTGGTGGATGGTGATGACGTTCTCTAGCGCGTGGATACGCTCCTCCATGGCGCTTGTGTTCAGGTAGTCGTAAATTGAGGCGCCGATACTCCATACTGCCCAAACAGCATCTACGACCGCCTTCATGGTGGGAGAGACCATTGAGTAGGCCGCCTTGACCCGGGACGCAGTCGCATCAGACACCCAGAGGCCAGTATGCACTACTGTCCCTACAGAAAGACACATGTACAAGACAGGGGTCTATTGTGCCAACAGCTCACCCTTGCATACTGGTGGGCCACTACAAAAAGGATTTCAGTGAGATCTGCGTTCAAGGCAAAGGCCACAGGCAAAACACAGCCCTGGTTTTTTCTAAGAATGTACAAGAAATTTATTTATCATTGAAGATGATGTGGGATACTGTGATTAAACATTGGGCTATGCAACGAACCTTAATTTGTCAAAAGCGGGATGTTCTTTTTAATGCGGTATAGATTTAGATCACACACTCAATCCACTTCCCAAGTACCTAATACAATATTGCATATAAGGTAGATGGCGTTACGGTTATGAATGTGTACGGACTCCGTAAAAATTAGCTTCACTCCTGCAAACTGTAACTTAGTTGCACAATTGCTTCAACTGTAAATAGGCTCTCAAAACCAATGATGCTAATGAGGTCTTTGATTCACTAGATACATTACAAAGGACCGTAAATTACCTGTGAGACCTTCATATGAAGCTAACATTTAGCAAGCTCAGCCAGATACAGAATACTCAGCGGTTAAGACGAAATCCATTTAGAAATTATGATAGGCAGCTGCGTTACCTAACGTCAGCTCGCTAGCAGGTTTGATTCGTGCTCCTATTACCTTGCTATATTATTTTGTAAAAAGAACATTAGTTAAATATCCTCTCCAGAAAATTGTTTGCTTGGGTCCTATGGTCCAACATTGAATTTGTTGAAGCGGAGGCTATTGCGTATCTTAAATCAGGGATGTTGCTAGATTTTTAGCACTACTGAAGCACAGGCCCCCAGTGCCCACATCCGCACACTTGCAATTTATGATACATTTTAAATAACTACTTTTTTTCATGATCATTTGCTAAGGCACAACAAATCATTACCGGGGCACGTAAATAAGGTCTGGTGACGCCCCCGGCTTAAATGTAATGTTACTTGGACAGAAATGGCAAAATTACATTGCTATGAAGCTTAATGCTACCAAGCTACATTGAGCTGTCAACATGAACTGTGAAACAATACTATCGCTAGATGTATGCCACCTCTTAAAACAACGGTTTCTGAATCAGCTAATTCTTAATTTACTTTACCGGCAATATCTAGCCTCAAATAATAAAGTTAGCTATACCTGCTATTTCTTGCTGGTATTAGATAGCAAGATAAAGGTGGAACATACACGTTTGACTTACCGAAGTGCTGCTACTGCTGGACAAATTTCTGGAAAATAGGATTGCACATCCGTATCGCTCTGGTTAGCTAGAAAGCTAAGGGACTGGTTTTAGTATTAAAACAATAATGCTACCAGTTTACGTCAACTGTGTCATTGTCAGGGCTTGATGTTACCAATTGGAGATTATGTCGGCCGTGGCCGCTCGCTGGAGAACACAATGGGCTCCTTGCACTCAACTGGCTAACGTAATGTTACAGAAAAGGGCGTGTCTACGGTCCACAGTTTTGTTTGTTGAATCATTAGAATTGCTACCGATAGTTACACTGATTAATCATACACCGGACATGTTAACTAGCTACATAGCTATTAATGATAATAATCTTTAGACGAATACATTAGACAGCCAACATTAGCAAGCTGAAATACAGTCACATGCTTGCTGGTTAGCTATTCTATTCTGATAGCTAAGTTACCAAGTTCGCCAGTTAACCGGAGCCTTCATTTAATTGTATAATTTTTTGACAATTCAGTTTACATAAAGGAACGTCAACATGGTTCATAACCCGATCGCTACAAACTGATGGGCAAACTATCTTTCTACTTACTTTTCTGTTGACTCCAGACAAGTCACAATGCCATCGCGGGGCAGCAGGGAAGGATCATTTAGAGAAATAACCAGTGTTAGCCAATACAAAAAGCGTGCTCCAGCGCTGATCCTGGATCAGCGGTAGGCTCTACAGTGTTTATCGTTAATCTTGCCGGCTTCCTGGCTATTTCATTTTAATTAACGTACAGTCAACATTGATATTACTATATTAAAACATTGTGAAAATACTGAAAGTTGGGCTCAACTATGGTAAGGCGTCGGTCTCGTAAACCGAAGGGCATGGGTTCGAACCCCATTCGTGCCTCACGAATAATTAAATAGATGTTTGTATTACTGTACTGTACCTTTCCTGGTGACAAGCAATATGTGAAAATCTCAAAGTTTGCGAATTTGACGGTGCTTGATGCTCACATAAATGTAGGCTATTGTGAACATTTCGGCTGTTACTCCGAGTTTTAATTCTTGAATTAAAAAAAAACATAGACAAGAACATGTTTATATAGGCTACATTTATTTTCAGCTGTCAACTTTTGTAATGTGTTTGTTTTGAACGCAAGGAGTCGCTCCAAAGCAAAAACGACTGACTAAATAAATAGCCGACATACATAAATGAATAACGACAGGGTAACTGATAAAAGTCACCTACATAGCCCAAATAAAACTCGCTAAAATCATATAAAGACTATTTCAATATTGAGTTTTTATCCCACGCAATCTGTGGCAATAAACACTGAATTTTGATTAATTACCTTGTTAACGAACGGAACGAATCTCAAAAAGGACTACAAATATATGACTTAATGAAGTAGTATCAGACAGACGTCTCTTATGGCATGATTCTTTCATATTCAAAAGGTTTTACGTTTTTTTTTTTTTTACTGTGTAAAAATGTTCGTAACTAACCGACTCATTATGTAAAACTAACCGTTTTACATGGTGTTACATTTCGTAAAATACCGTTTAAGTAGAATTGTGGGCTATTAATTATTATTAACCTAACACTACTGTAGCACTCAAGATGTCTATTTTGTTGCAATTATAATAATTGATGGGTTAAAAACAGAGTGGCCATTGAGTGGCGCCCAAGAAGTGCTGGTGAATTCGCCACCTTGTTGTATTGTATTTTAGGGAGGTCTGAGGTTTTTACTCGTGCGTTTGCAAGCTACAGCAACGACCTCACTTATTTTGTCTGTTATCAGCAGCCACTCTTGACATCCACATTTGAACGAGTGGATGTTTCAGGGCCCGTCATTAACACATGGGGTCGCTCTACTAAAAAAGAAAACAAAGCAAGAAACAAGAAAATCTGGATTTTTAAGGATTTGGGAATGTACTTATATTTGCAATAGCCGATACTGTTGCAACGGGCACTTCAGGGTGGGCTATAGGCTACACAATCCATTATTTGTTCCAAATAAATTGTTGCAATTTGTCCCTAAGGATCATCTTACCAAACTTGGGGTTCGTGCAAGATTGTGACTGATCAAAAGGGAGGACTGGCTGAGATGGGAACACGAACTTCGCACTCAGCGGCTATCATTTCTGTTCCACTCATTCAAGTGAGTGGATCATGCGATTTTCTACACGTTATGAAGGACGCCGATCATTAATCGAGGACGGACGCTGCAAGGAGCTGGGCAACTGGAGAAGGTAACATACACGGTCAAATGATTACAATTCATACGCTGTACATTTTCAATCGGTTTATTAAATACTGACATTGAAACAACATATTATATAGGCTACTAGGCTAAATATCATACCGATATTCATCTTTGACAAGAATATTGCCTATCCTGCTCTGGGTCATCTTATCAGAACAAAACTTTTGTGTATGTACTAAAATTATAATGAAAAGTTTAAAAGCTTCCCAATATAATTATTCTTATTAATCAGTGAAACTACGCATGGTTAGGCTACTTAGACTACTTATTAAAAGCAATAGTACATGGCATATTTCATTGGAGCCATCATTAATCGAATTCAGTCTAATATGTTGACTCTTCCTTGGAATGTGTCAGAGGCTGGGTCTTTGCGGGCAAGGTGATTTGTCTTGATGTTTTTCAACTGGCCTACAAAGTCCCAGTTTCTGGCTCATGTAACCATCGTCTGCTAATTTATCGATTTGTAATCAATCAAGCTGTTGCTCGATTCAAGATTTGACACGTGTTACACCGTTCTCGTGGTCAATATTTAAAGAGTGTTGTCCCATACTGAAAAATGCAACTAGACTAATAGAAATGCTTCAGGATGCAAAGCTTTAAACCTAACAAATATCGTTGGTTTCCATTTCCCAAAACCTACATTCACACCTAGGTTAGCCTGTTATCGCGATTCACAACCGCATGCTGTATGAAGAAATAGACGACTGAATCGTCATCACAATTACCCACATGCCACTAATCTAATCTTTTTCATGCTCTGAATCAAGTGACAGTTGAAATTGTTATCACAATCAAAATGATTAACAAACCCAAAATACTGAATAACGCACAATACGGTGAAACTATCATTTCTCCTTAATCTGATTACCTGGATTTACACAATACTGAATTAGAATGTATTCACAGAAAGCTGTGTGGTGTGGTTGCCAGATATGCCGAAGTGGTGTCTTAGTTTAAGCTGTTGAAGTTGGTTGAAAGGGTTATAATATTTGTCTGTTTTCGGGCATTCTTATTCACCAGAAAATGACATATCCTTCTTTCACAGTAAAACAAATAATTAGTGTAATAGTAAGTAGCCGATAATGCAAAGTTTACCTGAGTCCAGTATGTACTCACATTACTTATCTCACCGAGTAAAATGTTCTCTATCAGCTGATTTAACATTGAACATTTTAAGCTTATTTTTGGACGTTTAGGAAAATGTTGCTACATATGTTTCAGTTTTGGTAATGAATTTCACATAAGTATTTTTATTGGCCTGACAACATCCTGGAACGACCGTCACTGTTCGAACCGTCCTGTACAGATAAACTTAAATACTCATCTAACACAGCAGGCAGGAGAGAGACGTGATACAGGAATATCTACGGAACATAATACTAAAATCCATCTCCCTAATTTTTAATGGTAAATTTTTAAAAGTGATATTATTTGCAGCTTGATGCTTTTGATTTAAATGATGTTGGGAACAAAGCAGTTTGCAAAACATTTGTTCAGTGTTCAACAAATAAATGCAAGTGTTCTTTTTTCTGTTCAACAACTTCCACGAAAGCTCAGTAATCATGAAAATTAACTCATCAAATTGTTCTTGAGGAGAAGAAACACAACGCTCACATTCAATTTAAGTGAGGGTTAAGGAAAAATATTGATTGAATCCTGGCTATAGTACTTGTTTGGTCACTTAAGCGATATGCTATTATTTTTTAATCGTAAAAATACTAGTAAGACTATTATTTTAACCACACGGGGATAGCTGTGGATGAATATGGTGTATTCTAGGCCACCTGTCAATGAGTCTACCATCTTCTTCACTTGGAACCTGAACTTCAGGTTGTCTTTAAAAACATATTACAACTCAGTAATATGAGTTTGAGAATGTAGTTGTTTAAAGTCACTGCAAATTCACACCCCATAGAGTGATTTTAGACTAAATGTATTCTGTTTTTATCAGTATAAATTCTATTGATTGCTGCTCATGAAATGGTACTTTGATCATGAAATCTAGAACCATATTCCACTGACTGGTGTTATTTGAGTAAAGAGTTTTATTTTGCCATTTGAGGTTGATTGCAGGATAATCGGCCAATACAGAGACATTTTTACATTTCTTGTCTTTAGTATCACAATGCATAAGCTATTGGTTTTGGGAATTTTCTTGTCTTTTCTTTATCATTTTGATGATGAATGAATGCTGACATGGATTTCAAATGTTTTTAAATTTAATTGTTGAAAATATTTTGTATTCTAAAATACTTTTTTGGGTTTGTTTTAAACAGTAACGGTAACTATTTATAACACTAACATCCAGGTAGTATGAACAGTAGCCATCTTCATATCTGTATTACATATTGTGTTGTTGTACATACAGGTATTTAAGTTTGATATCTCATCTTATTCATGTAAAAAGAGTTAACAGAATATAAGTCATACCATATTGGTTGTGAGGTTTTCTCCTGCACAGATCTGGAGACTTAGTTCATTTGTTCTTTTGACATTACTTTTTATGAAGAGTGAGCTAGTCTTCAATTAATATAAACGTAGCTGAAGAGGGAAAAATAAAAATAATGTCAAACATTTACATTCTCAAAACAAGACATTTAGAAATAACCTCTGGCAGATAGATAATTCTCAAAGATATGTCAAGTTTCAAAGTAGTTTAACTGATGTCCTGAACTCAGGGGGAGAAAATATGGATATACATGATTTACATCAAGGTGGAATATTAAATATCCATATACATTTATCTCAGAAACTACTGATATATGACATACAATGAATGCAGATAGTGTCATTATGGATAAGAATGATATGTTCTTTCAAATGAAATAATTATGAAATTTATGTTGAGAATTGAAGACATGACAAAACACAAACAATCAGAACACAAGAAAACAGTAACTCTGGAAAGATCTACAAAGTACATACAAACTATTGAGTATGTTATTTATGCTTTTTCAGTGTTTGGTGTTGCAGGCTGAGACTCACATTATTTGAAATTGATTAGAATTCTTTGGACTTTGTTTCAAATTATGAGGATTATCTTTCAGCTCCATGTATTTTTAATTGCCATCATGCATGGTAACATTAACTGCCTTTGCACATCTTAATTTTTTCATCTTTTTTTAAAAGCATCACATTTCCAGTTAGAAATGAGTAAACCATGCGATATAAGGAATATATGATGCAGTTTACATCAAATTTCAAACTGTAAAACAATTAAAATAATTTTCTTCTTCCAAAAAAAAGTCAGTTTCTGTCAGAGGAGTTTTAGACTTTTGAAAGTACCACAATTTGTGGAAGTTCAGCGGATTTGAGAATTCTGGCATATAATCCAAGTGAGCTGATTACATTTGTGATCCACCACGAGTTTCTCAATGGAATAATACAGTGTTGTAGGTACTCTCATACTCATCCCATATACAGCAATGCTTTTGTAATGACCCTATCTGAGGAGTACAGCAGCTGTGCTTTGCCAGTGAGTGTATACGAGCATCCACCATGGATCTCTGTGTCAAGGACTGGCAGGTCAGTGTGCTCTAATTACCACCAAAGGGAATGCAAGAGTGTGGACAATGCTGCATGTGATAGTCTCATGCTAGAGACAGTTACAATTTTAAGATAGAGTAATCATTATTTTCTA